CTCCCTCCCTTCCCTCCCCAACCCCGTCCCCACCCGTGCGCCTCCCGTCTCGCTCCCCTCCCTTCCTTCCCCTCCCTTCCTTCCTCCCTTCCTTCCCCGCCCTCTTCCTTCCCTTCCCTCTTCCCTTCCCAACCCCGTCCACCTCCACCTCCATCTTCCGTCCCCGACAAGGTAAGCTTTTCCTCGCTCTCCCCCGGCACTAGCGACTAAACGAGCACCCAAGCATCGGAGATGCTTTTGGGAAAAACAACGACTTAAATAATTGCCTCAGTTCACTGCCCAAATGAGTGGTTGATTGGTGGATCCTTATCGGGTGTTTATTATAGCTATTTGTCTTGCACTCGTTCCTCCACAAAAAAGTACTAAAGCGGCACTCATGGGCCCCTAGCGTGTCACTTCTGCAGAATTCTGGAGATGTCTGTGGTCTTGAAATTCTTTTGCTCGGCACTCATTTGTCAAATCTAGCACAAATGGCTTCATATCCCCGAGGTTTTGTGCTCAAAACGAAAATATGCTCCCGATCATGCACAAAGTTCTGTCTCCAATCCATTCAGCACATAGGCCTCCCTCACCAACGTCACTGATTCCTCTAACAAGATCTGCTCCAAGGCTGCCACAGCCTGTGAAAGAGCATGCAAAAAGACATGCTAAGCCTCGCCATATAAACCAATTTTGGTGATGTGGAGGACCACCACCTCTCTACACAAACTTGGACGAAGTCTCCTAGTGCCCCTTGGGTGTCCAAATATCTCAATCGCATGCGAGGCCGAATGTTCCGTCAGAATCAAGCTAACGCTCGAACAAAAGAAACCTGACACCTTGGAAACACGTCATACTTCATAAACTTAAAGTAGCAACATGCCATACTCCATCTAAGCTTCTTCTCCTGTTTGTCAACCACAAAAGACATGTTATTTAACATACATGCAACCTGAAGCCGCGGGGCTTCTCCCTGTTGCCTATTTCCTGGAACTGTGCGCCTGCGCCACGTCCGCCAAGGAGAGCCCTGCGGCCCGGGTCACCGGGCTCAACGCCGCTTCCTTCAGAGCCGCTGCCAGCTCCGGCGCCTTGTCCTGCCCAGCGTCGCGGCGGGCTGTTCGCGAAGGTCGGTGGACGGAAGGCCCGAAGCAAAGGTCCAAGGTGGGGGGGTTCGCTCATCAAGGACCAGCAATCAATCACCCGGAAAAAGCACACGAAGCTCTCACAAATACCATGCATGGAATGTCAGGATCTGGAAGGCTCACAAAGCCCAGTGATTTTCGGATGACCCGGACATGTTGCAGACGCCCATACAACTCCAAAGTCGAGGCCTCGCGAGTGTGTCACAGATTGAACATGATGTCCTCAGGATGCTGCCCCTCCCTGCAGCCCCCACACAAAAGACAGAGATCTAGCCAGAGATCATCCGCAAATCTCTACTAAACATCGTCAAACCTTGCACCTGAAGTTGTAAGATCCCCTATCCAACACCCTTCATGTCCACATCACCAAAGGTTCCTGATTCCTGCAGGATCTCCAGTCCCCCGACCCCGTCCAGCTCCCAGTTCTTGATCAAGAAGCTACTAGTCACAAGGGCATTACTACTAGTAGCAAGGACGCTACTAGTAGCTCCTGGCATTACTACTAGTAACAACCAGCAGTCACAAAGGGGTGCCCATTGGAGGATAGGGGTGCCCATTATCCACTCACTTAGGAGCCAAACACCACCCCTTTGTGACTCCTGGAAGAAGGTACTAGCAACAAAAAGAAGAAGAAACACCCACCTCACCACACCCCTCTCCTCCAAGGCGTGTACGGCATAGAGGTCTCCCGCACCACGCTCCTTTGGAGCTTTGGCCGCTTGGTACGTCTCCCCCGGCGCGATGATGGGAGCGCCGGGAGGTTCCAAGCCCCGCACCAACCAGCCGTGCTCCTCGTCGGCGAGTTCGACGGGTTTTGGGATCCCGGACGTGTGAAAAAGCAGACTCTGGGAACTAGAGGGTTCGAGGGTCCGCGTGAGTTAGCTATAATATGTCGTCTATTTCATGCTATTTCCATTGTATAGAACGTGTGCATTTATGTTCATCGGCTTCTGTCTCCCGCTTTTCATCCGCCCGCCTTGGCAAAGTAGGCTCGGGCCAAGGCAGGCAGTGCCTGGTGCGGCGGCAGATTGCCCTTCGCGTCCTTCGGGAAGGCCTCGTAGCTGGCACGCAGCGTCTCCTCGGGAGCGACCCGGTTCGTGGCTCGATGGGCCGGTGAGGGAAGTCGTCGCATGGCATGTTCATTGATAAATGATTTGTTTCATGTCTATACTTACTATGATATACTGTATGACATATTAAATACATATTATGATTGATATCTATATAATATAATATAATATATATATGTGTTTATTTAGTATAATGATATACTATATGATATGTGTGATATCTTGTACACAGTGTTGACAACTTATGATGTTCGACACGTTGTTCTGATAATGATACAATAATGACGATGTATGTCGAAAATTGTGTCTTACATTAGTTCATAAATTCAACTCTTATTTGGTGCATTTGAAGTGTATGGTCCATACTGCTTCTGCTCCGCATCTACATATCCTTCCGTTGGTGATTGATAGTGACAAAAATCCCAAACCGCCCACTAATCCGTGTGCCAGTTCTCAGACCTGCCAAGCAGGTCTGAGAGTTGGCACACCTCTCTACACTCTACACGTGCAGGGGCAGAATCCTTGTGTTCCAACACTTTGGGCATCGAGGATTCCCACCTGCAGGCTACTCATGAGCAGAATCTTCCCACCCCCCAAGCGGCCGATTTTTGAAACCCCCCTCCTCCACAAAGAGCACCCGCTGGGCCGTCACCTTCGCCAGCGCCTCCCGGAGGGCTCGCTGCAGCCGCCCACGGTGCGACGGCGTGGCGCGGCGCATCAACTGGGCGTGCGACGGCCCGGCGCAAAGCGAAAGCGCCAGGGCCAAAGGGAGGAAGAGCCTCACAGGACGGATGGATTCCACGAAAGGGATGACCCGTTGGTGATTGTGCTGCTCCATTTGTGCTTTGATTTGATTGGCGGATTGGTGCTTCGATGTGGTGAGCTGGTTTGAGGGAAGATGCTCAAGTTTGCTTGGCAAAACTGGATTCGTCCACGTTTGTTCATGTCACTTTGTTTCGCTCGGGTGGCCTTTTTTAGAGCCAACGCCGAGGAACTCTGCACTCAGGTTTCACGACACGTTTTGACGCTCCTGACTTCGTTCTGCAGTACGAAGTCTGACCAAGCCAGATGTTCCAAAAGAAGCATGAAATTTGTTCGTTTAAATTCTCAACAGCCACCCACCCACCCACCAAATTCCCATTTCGCAGTCATGGTTTCAAGAGGTGTCATCGTGATGGTGACAGATGTGACAGTGCCAGCTACTTCAAATAAACACACCATGAACTCACGTGAACTAAGCATATACCTGCTTCCAAGGGGTTACCAATGGACAACCCTACACTGCTTATAGGTCACCAGACTGGACACCCAAACAGGAAGCGCTAAGCGCTAAGTACATTACTCTGTCCAACTGTGGTGGTGAGACCGTCACATTCCAGCCACCCTGCCTTGACATCACTTCTGCACCTCGAAGGAGATCGATTTGAATGGACAGCTTGTCCGAAAGGTAGAAACAATAGCAGGATTAATGTAGGGTGTGTGAAAGATGATGAAGGATTGTATAGGATTGTCCAGGCATCTCTTGCAGAGCTTAAAGCTTCTTCAACCCCAGGTCTTAACCAACCACACTAAGACACCTAAGCGTTGCTTGTGCACCCACCGTATATGATTCATCCAAACAACACCACCACACATCGCACGCATCGCATCGCATCGGGCCCCTCGGCACATCTTAACCCTCTTGAGCTTCCGAGCGATTTAGAAAAGGCAGGAATCGATTCCTGGAAGACCTGACTTAAAGCCTCACGAGCTGAGTGCCTGCAGTGATGAGATAAGTCTGGCGGAATTTCTTGAGGATCAATCATGAAGAAACAGTGGGATGGGCTGATCATGGCTGATAGTAGTAGTCCTTGGGGTAAGAAGAAACCAAGCAAGCCTCGAGCAATTCGGATCATGCTGTTGCTTTCGGCTCGACATGGCTCGACGTTCTTCATTAAGACATGTTGTTCGCATGGCTCGACATGTTGACGATGGACTTGGCTGGTCTTCCCACACAAGCAGATCCGATCTCGCGCACTTGATTTTCCCTCGCAATGGTCATCCGATCTTCATCTCAAAGCAATGCCGCCCCCAGTTTTCAAGAACCTCAACCAACACAACCAGCAGAAGTTCTGGATCAAACATAAAATTATATGTTAAGTAAGTACAAGTAAGTGCGAATTGGAAATCCCGGGAAATCCCCACACCTCAAGAAACTACATATCCCGGCCTACGTACTGGCCGGAACAGAACTCTCTGGGAGCAACAATTGCATTGATGATTTAAAGAATCAAGCTCACTCTCCAATGGCACGCTGCTCTTCATCGCGGGCCATGCCACCAAACTCCGTGCCATGCAAGGCATCGTAGCCGACTGGCCAGTTGATCATACCACCTGTGTTCCAGACTTGATCGCCCTTCTCAAGCAAAGCAAAATCAAAGACATCCTTCACATCTGGGTCAATGGGGTTGATCTCCGCACCCTCTTCAGGCAGCTCGTAAAGGACTCTCACCAACATGAAGATCTGATCACACTCACCACAGCGGTAAAGGAAACCCTCTCGGCAACGGAACCAAAGAGGAACATGCTCATTGTCTCCAGTTCCTCCAGTGCAACCCACAACCCGCTCGGTGTGGATGGCTGGGACAAGCACGGG